TGTTAATTCTTTAAGAATATGGGAGAGAGCATCAGGTGGGAGAAGGAAACTATGTAAAGTCAAATTTCTTACAGAAAAGGAAAAGATGATAACAAATATCCGTTTTGTTAATTATCTAAGTGGCAAGCTAATGCCCTTTGAAAGAGACTCCAAAGATAATCATTGCAAGGGTTACACCAGGTCCCATCACGGACACGTGGCTGAAGAAACGCTGTAGCCACTGAGCCACAGGGAAGCTCACTGCAGCTACCCAAACCATGGTGACTAATGACATCTAAGGATGTAACCACCTCCTCACAACATGCCTTTGTTCTCAGATTTTCACAGATGTGATTCCATTTGGAGTTCTCCCAACACCGCAGTGTTTCAATGGTCCCTAAAAATGTGCTAGAGACAAGTATTATAACCTCAGAAAATATGAGCCTTTCTTAGCCACTTCACCTTCCCTGAGGAGGGAACCGCGACCACCCAGTGCTCGGTGTGAATTAGAGGGCTTTCTGGCTGGGCTATGAAAAAGAAAAGGAGGTGCTATTGTATTTTTCTGTCACTGTGCGTATGAAATAGCTATTAACGCTAAGGGAAGTTTTATGTGAGCCTTAGGAAGGAAATCTTCAGAACTATGAAGAAATCATCTCAGCTGAATTTAGCTGACTCAGTCCTATATTACACATGTGTTAGAAAAGGATTAGGGGTTGTTCAATCACAAAATGTTTCTAGATTTCATTTTAAGGAAGTCATGGCTTAGCAATTTCAAACTTATACATGGTTTTAATGGTTTCTTCCTCTTACTCTCTGACAAAATATTTAAAACCATGTCGATTTCTGCAAGAAACAACAACAACAACAACAAAAACCCAGGACTTCAAAAACAGAAACCAAGACAGGCAAGTACATTGGGAGATAATAGGCAATAGCTGGTGCTAAAAATGATTATAACACATTTTAGAAATCAACCTTCAGTCAAATTCTACCAGTAGACCTATGGATAGGTTCTCAGATAAGCTAGAAGTGAGAACCAAATAAGAAGTTACAAGGTTACGTGAGCAGTGTCTCCCTAAGAATCTGCAAGGTATTTCTACATCTACCGCATTCACGGTAGTCTATGGACTGCCATTTCACTGAAGGTTGATCCTGTAATTGTGAGATGTTATTGCATTTTACTGATAACCTGAAAAAAAGTCAAGCCCTTTTAAAGTCATTGTACCACTTAGCATATTACTTCTACCTGAGCTAAAGTTAAGAAGTAAAATGAGAAAGATTTTCTCATTCTCACAGCTGATTCCATACTCAAATGCAAATCAGAACTAAGCTACGGGCATTTGACAAGCACCCATTGCACTTGTAAGTTTTTTTAAAAAACAAAAAAGGAATAAAAGGAGATAGAAAAACAAATCAATCTAAGGTAAATGGGGAAGATAACTGGATAATGGAGAAAAAAATCTTCCATAGCAACAAAATAGAAGAGATTATTTATGTAGATTTACAAGTAGATGAGCTCCAGATGTTTTTTTTTTTTGATCTACTTCTCCCCAGGTGCTTTTCTGCTTAATAAATACAACATCCAAGTTGGAATATTGTTGAGGCATTGAATCACCTAAATTTTGGCTACGCTCTTCTGCTGTTAACTATTTTGAGCTATTTCTCAATAAGGCAGCCGCTACTGAAATCATAAGTACATAGGCTTGGCAGAGCCAGAGAGAAAAAGTGCAGTCCACAGATTTGTTTCTTCTGTTTTCCCAAAACAGAATCTCATAAAAAATATGCCCTCAAATTTTGTCACTATGTTGCTGTCAAAGAAATTCTGCTCTTCATAACTCTGAACATTAAACCCATAGTTCTTGTGCTACGGGGAAGTTATAGAGCTCCAGGAAGTGGAGAGGCACCATTGCAACTGTTCAAATTGTAGCCAGGCAGAATAATCAGTCAATCAGAAACTTCAGTTCCAGTCGGATGGAAGTTTTTGGGGCCAACTTGGAAAAGCATACAGAACAAGTTTGACTTTACTGCCAAGATCATTTCCAGGACATTGGCTAATTAATTATAAAAGCTTTTTCAAAACAAATTTGAGCCTGGCAACCTTTTTTTCCTACCCAAACAGAGAGAAAAAAAAAAAAGGTTAAAAAATAAAAGCCTGAGTTTATTGTGCGGGGGGTTTTTTTGCCATAGCTTCATCTTCTTTACAAACCCATTTTCTTCTCACCCTAAAATGATCCAGAAGCTTTTGTATTTGAAGTTACTAAAATAGTAAGTACAGAAACTGAAAAAATATTAGTTTGAATTCCTAATCTGCCTTTGATTGTAGATGAGATCATGGGTCAGTTCCAAAACTTCTCTTCATACTCTTTGGTGGGAAGCAAAGAATGGACTTTCTTCCTCTTTGTGGGATGAAGAGCTCATTGGATTAACTGCAGTTACTGTAATAGATACAGTGTAGATGGACAGTTGCTCTTAAAATGATATATTGTATTTTGTTAAAAACATACAATAGGGATGCCTGGGTGGCTCAGTGGGTTAAGCAGTTAAGCCTCTGACTCTTGGTTTCAGCTCAGGTCATGATCTCAGGGTCCTGCGATGGAGCCCTGCTGGGGGCTCTGTGCTCAGTGTCCAGTATGCTTGTCCCCCTCCCTCTACTCCTCCCCCTGCTCTCACACTCAGTTTCTTTCTCTCTCTCTCTGAAATATACAAATAAATAAAGTCTTTTTTTAAAAAATGATAGTATTCATCAGCCTTCGCTTCCTGGCTTTGAAAACAAAAAGGACAAAAACTTCTGATTTAAATCTTCTTGGTTTCACTTAATATGAACCTCAATGAATATGAGATGTTCATGATAGGCATCAAAGATTCTGGTTTCAAGTACTGCAATCACACAGGTTTTACAGCTAAATCAACACCCCCGAACCATTATGTTCCAACATACTTCATCTAACACTGGAATCAGAGCTTATGTAATATGCATCTTAAGCCATCAAATTTCCTCTGCATATGCCCAGATCTGAAGACACTCAAGAAGGTAAGAAATTTCTCTTAGCCAGCATTTACCAGCTGCTTACTGGCCAATTCCTGGCAAGAAAACTGTCAGTAATAAAATAAGCTTTTTTTTTCCAAAAAAAAAGTCTGTCAACCAGATATTCCTAACTCTGCCTTATCCTGTATCATGTGTACTGCTTTATTCAGTATCAAGACCCCTGGCAAACCACAGAAACAGAACCTTACTAGTAAATGTTGAGTGGAGCCAAAATGGGCCAAATAATTTTGAGGGCAACTCTAAACAAGTCCTTGTTTACTGAGTTTTCTCTTTGCTGCTACAGCTATGTAGCTCCCAATGTATCCAATATTTAAATGATCTTCTCCTGCTCATTTCAAGGGGGAGGCAAATACAAGGGAGGAGAGCTATCCATATCAGCATATGAAGGGGGGCAGCTCTAGGAATCAAGACTCAATCTCAATGTAACAGGGAGGTAACTCAGCCTGACAAAGGCCAAGAGAGTTCCTCTTCTGAGGAACACAAATTAAAATAAGAAGGACAACACTAGATTTAGAGACTCTTGAAAGTCAGGTAGGGAAATCTGAACTTAACTTGATGGGAAGCCATTATGAACCTTTGATCCAGGAGAGAAATATGAGGGCAATAATATGAAAAACATATTACTGGAAAAAAAAAAAAGAAAAAAACATATTATTGAAATAGGAGAAAACAGAGACAAGGTAGTTCCAAAGCTTTTCTAGCAATCCAGTACGAGATGATGAAGGCCTGAATTGGGTGCTGCTGGTGAAGGCGAGGAAGAAAGAATCCAAAAGCCACTTCACAAGAAAGAACATAAATTCACCTTTCCTGTACCTTTCAGAATTCAGCAAGGCCTCTAAACCTCTGTCACTACTCTAAGAGCTGTCCAGGAAAGAGGCACATCATCATAAGTCTCCATCGCCTTCGAATATATAATTCAGATTTCTTTATTCAGGTGGAATTTTCACCCAATTAGTCCAAAGTAACTTGTTTTGTTTTTTAATATAAAGCGCAAAATTATACCTACTCACCCTTTTTATGTCCACCCAACTGGGAAAAATGGCCCAAATTCTACCATATCTTTTTTAAAAAAAAGTAAATCAAGGGGCACCTGAGTGGCTCAGTCGGTTAAGCATCTGCCTTTGGCTCAGGTCATGATCCCAGGGCCTTGCTCAGCGGGAAGCCAGCTTCTCCCCCCCTTCATGCGCGTGCTCACTCTCTTTCTCTCTCCCTCAAATAAATAAAATCTTTTTTTTAAAAAAAGTAAGTAAATCAAGATTCAAAACCTAATCGCTCTTCATGTCAAATAGGCTACTTACTATGTTTTAATAGACAAACCTACATACAGCTAACAAGACAATCATTACCTTTGCCTGACATATCCCCCAAAAGTTAACCATAGCCAGCATTTTTTAAACCTTCATACTTTATCAATGCACTTTTTCCTAAATTATCTCTTTTAATCCCCACAATAACCCTGTGGTAGGGATTATTATTACTATTTTAAAACTGAGATGGGGCGCCTGGGTGGCTCAGTCGTTAAGTGTCTGCCTTTGGCTCAGGTCACGGTCCCAGGGTCCTGGGATCGAGCCCCGCATCAGGCTCCCTGCTCCGTGGGGAGTCTGCTTCTCCTTCTCCCAGCCCCCCTGCTTGTGTCCCCTCTCTCGCTGTCTCTCTCTCTCTCTGTCAAATAAATAAATAAAATTCTTAAAAAAAAAAAACTGAGATAACTATAGCTCCAAGACTTAAGTCGTCCAAGAGAATACATCTGTAAGGGTTGGAGTCAAGACTAATTCTTATCTTCGAACTTCAAATCCCTTGACATAGTGCTTTCCCTTCCCTCAGAGAACATGTGCAAAAAAAAAAAAAAAAAGAACCCATCTACACATATCAGTTCCTTTCAAGTTAGGGAACCATCATCTCTAATCTTAGTCCAGCATCTTCCAGACACATATTTAGTCTTCGGTTTCAAAGTAGTCAAGATTTCTTTGCTTACCTGGTCCTTCTCCGGTTTATCAGAAATGTCATTCAGACTGGAGGAAGTCAGATTCCTATGGGTCATCGCTGGGCTACCTGAAAAAAACAAAAGTGAACCCTAATTGAAGACTTCAAACACAAGACTTTGGCTGCACACTTCATAAACACTTATAGATGATGATGAGAATGGCAATATGCTTTAGTTCCACTGGGACTCTGCTGAAGAGTCTTCCAGAGTACAGGCTGGAGCACAAAGATGGTTAAGCTAAAAGTATGTAAAATCGCAAATACCATGTTTAAATCTTACTGATTTCAAGATAAGTTAAACTTTAGAAGAAACATCTAAAACTATATGCATAAAAGTAAATTTACTCCTCGTTTGGCTTGCTTTTTGTCACTGCCCTTTATACACATCCTGATCCACCTGGTATCCTTCCCTTTTCCTACCCCCTTCAGAGACGGCCTCTTTCCTCATGTCAGCAGAAGTGGCCCCAGACTACAGGCCTGGACCTCCTCTCTCCAGGCCTCTGCAGTCCTTCCTGGGGCACCACTACCTCTGATCAACCACAAAACCCATCTGTGTTCCCTTTTCCAGCTCACACTTAACCAAAGATTTCTCCGTGGTGGGCATCTGATCCACAATCCCCATTCTTTGCCTCAAAGTAGTGCTACCATAGGCCCCTTACTTCTTGCATTCCCATTTGCCAGACTCATATAAGCATAACCCTTATTCCCCCTCAACATGCCAATCTTCTTATTCACATTACGTAATGGGTTTCATCATGAGCACTTCACGGGAACCAAGCTCCCTGGCAATACAATGGCTGTAGGTCAAGTCTACTGGCAACCCAATGACTTTAGACACCATTATACAAGTAAAGAGAGGAGGGAAATCTAGAAGAGTGATAGCCCATCTTCAAGTAGACTATGTTAATCAAAAGAATAACATTCTGTTCATTCTGCAGTTGGACTTGAAATTTCTAAGCTTACTAAGCAAAAGAGTAACTTTTCAAAGCCAGGGTGTTTGACCCAGCCCCTGCAGGGAGCTGAGTAATGCATTCATCATTAATCCTCAATGATCTGACTCAGGCTGGTCTTCACACCAAAAGGACAAGGGTTGAAAAACAAGCACCAAAGTTTGAACATAGCTTCACATTTGCTTCCAAATTATTTTTTAGATTATAGACTTTAATTCCTTCAGATAGAAACTTCAACACATAATTCTACCGCAGACTAAAATTTACTCCTAATAATTTAATGTCTAAGTAAAAGCAGTTCTTTAAAGAATATAATTGTCTTTAACTACTAAATCAGAAAAATCATAATTTTCTTGAGCTGGCAAGACAGGGCATTTTCCACTCTGCTGCATTTCATTGAGTAAGCATGGCCTAGATCTCTTAAACCCTTTACCTGGTGGGACATTTTATTCTAGGAAAATCTGAGCACAGGGCATTTTTCAAAGGAAAGTTACATCTGAAAAACTGCTTTATGAGCAAAATTAAAAGAACCTTTTTGAAGGCCACATTTTCTTCTCTGAACTACACACCAGGTTTCCAGCGTGCACTCAAAACAAAAGACACCAGGTACAAATGTGAATGCTCCCAAACAATGCCGGGCTTGAAAGTAATAGGAAATGATGAGTAGCTATAATTTTGCACCTGACATTAAAAGCAAACGCCATTATTTGGACTAGCTGGGTGAAAATTCTACCTGAATGACTGAGGAAATCTGAACTATATATTCCTAAAGCAATGAAGCCTTGGCAATCCTAATCCTAAATTAAAAGTAGCTTCTGTAAATTAATAGATAAGACTGATTTCTAATTATCAAATCAATTGATGTAAGTGGCAATACTGAAATAATCTGAAAGAAGTTTCATTAAGTGATTTACATTTTCTGGGAAATATCCTAGATTCATTGATTTGCTTTGGAAACCATAAACACTGCAAAGGTGCATGTTTGCCCAAGCACTGTCCCACTGCTGCAAAATCTAAAGAAGTAAATGCCAAAGGAATCAAGTTTTTACTACAATGGTAATCCTGACTGATGTCACAACTTTTCCAAGAAACCTCATATACTGCCTCATCATTTCTCTCATGATAGCATGGATGTATTTGTACCAGACAGGGGTTCCAAGGAAGGCACAGGTCCCAGGAAGATGCAGGAACCAGATGGGGAAAAGTAGGTCAATGTTAAGAATCAACCAAATCTACTGTCCCTCCTACCATTATCTGATTCTCATTAATAAAAGTAATATGAACAGCTTCACTGCTGTTTAACTTTGTAACACGGTGGAAGAATCCAGAAGTCAACACTTCTAGATAAACCCTAAGCAAGATGATAAGCATGCTTCAGTGTTTTCCCCACCTCCTGCCCAGCAAACTCCCCACTCCTGAGTCCAAACACCTTAAACCAAAAACAAATGCTTCCCCATGCAGTGGTCTCCAAAGTGTGGTGCCCAGACCAACAACACTGCCTTACCTGAACGCTTATTAGAAATGCAACTCCTTGCAACTTACCCTAGACCCACTACAGTGGTCCCCCTTATCTGCTGTTTCAGTTACCCAAAGTCAACTGTGGTCCAGAAGCAGGTGAGCCTCCTTCTGACAAATCATCAGAAAGTAAATAATAGCCTAAGGCTACATTACAAGGCCTATGTCATTCACCTCACTTCATCTCATCACGTGGGCATTTTATAATCTCACATCATAAGAAGGGTGAGTACAGTACAATAAAATATTTTGAGAGACCATATTCACATAATTTTTATTATAGTACATTGTTACAATGTACTATATACAATTTATAATTGTATTTTATTAGTTACTATTGTTAATCTCTTACTGTGCCTAATTTATAAATTAAACTTTATCATAAGTATGTGTGTACAGGAAAAATATAGTATATATAGGGCTAAGGCATCCACTGGGAATCTTGGAATATATGTCCTGTAGATAAGGGGATCTGCTGTATAATCCAAACTCTGGGTTTGGGGCCCAGCAATGAGGTTTTAACAAATCTTTAAAGTAATTTTGAAGCATGCTAAAGTTTGAGAACCACTGCTTTAAATAAACCCGTTATCTTAAGAGGAGAGTGGGCCCCAGTCAGAATCTGAATTGAAAGAAACATATATAAACTGAAGTAGGCAGAGGGGTAGTTCTGACGACCTTGCCCTCCTCTAAGTCACTACTCCAAACTACTGTTATCTCAAGAAATCATTAAGTTAGCAACCTCATCACATAAACACGCAGAAAGTGTCTCGCCTGGCTTTTCCTCTAAATCCTCTCCTACACAATCAAATAAATAAATAACTTTGGAAACTCATTATTTAATCAGCCTTTTCCAGAAATATATCACCCAAATCCAAGAAGACAAGGACAAGAGCCAAAAGAGATTACAAACCCGATTATATCCGGAATCAGAAATTTGTGCATGGCATTTTAGCAAACCCAGGAAGCGGTTATGCAACTGATCCCTAACAACGTTCTATTGTAGATATTTTGCACCTGACATTCAATAAGACACATTATCAGGATAAATCAGTGCTTTCTATTTACAGTTTGGGCCTATAATGCAAACTCATTATACTGCAGTCCTGAACGAGTAGGGCTAATAAGAGAAAATGTCAGCTTGTACCAAAAAAGTGAAATGCAACAGTACCCTTAAAGTACCTTACTTCTTACACAGGCAGGGGTTCATTCAACTAGTCAACTACCACTAGTCAGCCCTTTCCATCAAAATCCAGGGCATACAAATGTCATATAACTGCTCTTGGTCCAAAGAAACTTTTAAGTTTGATTTCTACAAAAGAAGAAGAATCAGCCTCAGGTGCATAATCATAATTAATTTCCATAGCACTGTTTTCTGGCCATAAGAAAAAGAAAGCTTTGGAGAATCACATTTTAGGCAGTTTCATACAACCAAAAACAATTTCACTTTGAAAGTACACACTTGGCAAGTACATACTGTCTTCTATAAAAATTAATTGAATTCTGTGCTAAGTTTGAAAATCCTTGTTATTCTTTAGCACACATGTAGCAATTCATAAAGTCCTTTACAATTATATCTATTAGATACAATAAAAAGCAGTAAGGAGAACTATAGCATAGGAGGAGGATATTTAAATCTGTACGCATTAGATAAAAATGTAAATATGTATGTAATGCAATGAACACATGACCCCCCTCACCTCATACCTTTACAATGAAGCAATAGAGAATCTAAGAAAAAGCTAAAACAAAGATCCCCTTGGGTATGAAAAAAACTGGATATTTTATTCTTAATAATAATTAAATATTTTTAGCATGAAAAATAACTGAGGTAACTTCCACATAACAGACATAAGGGAATCTGGGTGTCCATGTCAGAAAATTCAGAGGTATGGTCTGATTTGCACTCCCTGAGATCATAAAACTAATAATTAAGTGTAGTTTTTGAAGAATGCATGCAAATGTGTTCTTCTCCCCCACTGTTGACATAACTCTACCAGAAATCATCTATATCTAAAATTAAGGGGCAACTAATTTTTTTAAGTATGAAGTACTTTAACTTACATTGTCTTACTTAATGCTCATATAAGCACTTTGAAGTTAGTATGATTCCTATTACCACTTTACACATAAACAAAATTGAACCTCAAGGAGGTTAAGTTCATGGTCACACAGCAAGTGGTAAAACTATCACTTAAATCTGGATCTCTTAATACCAACCCAACTGCCTCTGAGAAAAAACTGGCCTCTCTATGTTATTTCCATAAATAAACACACAAACCTCACCATTTCTAACAAGGAGAAAATTTAATATACAACCACAAAGAATATATTCTATTTCCATGCCAATTTATGTGCAATATAATATCATTAAGGATATTCAAGGCAGAAACGTTTTTGGTTGTCAATTTAGCTACTCCCAGAAATAAAGTATACATTTACTTTTTCATTTTCATAAAGAAAAAAAAGGGGGGGAATGAACTTGCTACTCTGTTTGCCACTGTGATTAAACAGTAGCCCAAAACCACAGCTCTGTGTCAAAGGAGAAAAGGGTGCTAAAAGCAACAGCAATGTAATTATAAAAGCAATAATGCCACAACAAAAACT